AGAGGGGGGGTTTAGTCCATGTGTATAGTCGTCGTTTCGGTTGTTGAAAACATGTATTGGTGATGATCATATGATTATCTTGGCAGAAATCAATCACTCCCTCACCTGCTTCATTGCGTTTTCCCAATCCAAATTTTCCAACTATACCAGGTACTGCTGTTTTGCCAACCTTTGCATTCCAATCACCAATTATTAGGATGGCATCTTTCTTTGGAACGTCGTCGAGTATTTGTTGTAAAACCATGTAGAAGTCCTCGATTGTTGATTCTTCTACTGCTGTTAGTTGGTGCATATATTTGTATTATTGTTACGTTCGTTGGTTTTCCTTGAAGTCGAATAGAAATCATTCTATCATTTTTTGGATAGTATCCGATTACTGAATTAATGAGTTTCTTGTTTAATACCATGGCCACACCATTTTTTCTGGTGTTTTGGCTACCAGAATAATAAACTTCGTAGTTGCCTGATGTGAAGTGACCATTTCCTGTCCATTTGAGTTCGCTTATTCCAAGAATGTCTATTTTCATTCGATCCATTTCTGATTTGACTATTTCGAGCTTGCCTTGGTTCATACTTCTTACATTCCATGTACGAATTTGGTGTGTTTTTAAAAAGCTTTGGCCTTTCCGCTTGTATCTGTAGTGCTCAGCGATTGAACTTCCTTTCGGCTTTGGTTCAATAGCGTCATTGTTTACAGTACTAATTGTACTCGACCTTGGCTCTTCCCCAGTCATATGTTCGGTGCTTTCCGACCTGAGGGTCTCATCTTCCAGCCCCATAACTTGAAATATTGTTGATTGTCTGTTCATTGAATTTTCTTGGTAAGAATACTGAAGTGGTTTACCATTTCCTTCTTCAGCGCAGTCCGAGTACTTCGTTGCGGTCCACTATCGCTGCTGCCCGACAGTTTCTGCGTACGCGCATTAGCCTTAAAGATATCTTCAAGTTTTTCTCTCATACCACGTAGAGGTTGCACGTTCCGACTTCATGAGAGTCTTATAGTATTATGTAACAATTATTTACGAGATATCAGTGGTCATCAGTGTTCCATTGACGTCAGTGTCAGTGTGATCAATATTTCAGTGATGAACGATACAGTGGTCATCGGTGTTCCAGTGACGTCAGTGCCAGTGTGATCAATATTTCAGTGATCAATGATACAGTGGTCATCCGTGTTCCAGTGACGTCAGTGTCAGTGTGATCAATATTTCAGTGATCAGTGGCACTGAGCGTCACTGTCGGTGTCTATCGGTGTTCAGTAAACGCACACCGCACATCCCTATGTGGAATTGTTGTTAATATTATACACACAGGTGCTAAAATATATAGCTGACACTGATCTACACTTTGTTGTCCATCATCCTATCAGGATATATACGTAATTCTATATATCTCGATAGTTATTTGAAGAATATTTACGCGACCTAAATATTTTTCCGTTACAGACGGAATTCGTAAGATGGTCATTTGGTCAAAATGCTTGAAATGTTTTTTGAAAAATTCCAGTTAATTGTTTTTTTAATTTATTTTTAACGAAATCTTAACATTTGACCAAGTCCCACGTATCATTTTGTGGAGCAGACTTTGTGCTATCGAACGGTATATAGCTTTTCTAAACTTGGTTTAATTTTGATAAAAATATTTCAAAAAATGTCCAATTTTTGATAGCCTCCATGAGGATTACTCACTTGCGTTCATCATATCTCCGGAACGCAACGACATTCGACCGTCATATTTTGGATTTAGTATATCGCTACTATATCCTTTGAATCTAGATAGAAAAGATCGAAATCGGAAACCAACTCCGGACAGCTCGGTCAGTGGTCTCAGGAAACCTGTCTGAAACACAATATGCAAGCATTATTTGAAATGAATTACTACTAAATCGGTCGCTGAAAAGCAACAGTTGAGAGTAGCAAATTGGTTTGTATCGAAGGAAGTTATAGGTCAACCTGTTTATATTTGATTTATCTCTTCAAAATCATTCACCTAAACATAGCAGTATTCTTGGATAAAATCAAAATACTAATAGTATCGTGCAAATCATGCACATCCTCATACCCTGACGCCCTCAAGATATGGACAGAGAAAATCAAAATTAAACTGTCTAATAATTAAAATAAAATTCAAACTGAAATTTTGAAATCTTGTTTTATTTCAAAAATTAAAATTGAGTTCAATCCTTTCTGAATTTCAGTCTTATGTTTGCAGATGAAAGCTACAGAATTCATCACATATGCATTGATGCATGTACAAGACTGCTGTTATATGTACGTGATAAGAGGTCACATAGGATACGAGCCATTTCTCATCTAAAATTTTCCGGATATCCTCTTATGTCTACATAAAAGGACTGCACTCTGTATGTGACAAGAAACCACGTTCAATACGAATCATTTCACTGATCGGATTGTTTACATGCCTTCTGATGTATATATAACAGCCCCTACTATCAGTACGTGGTGCAAGACCATATGCAACAAGAACTGTTTCAATCCTTACATTGTTTGAATGTCTTCTCATCCCCCATAGAAAAGTGCTTCTCTTTTAAACAGTGCGCAATCACATAGGAAATGAATCATTGCAAATCTTGTATTCTTCGCAAGTGTTCTTGTGTCTATATAAAAGCACTGCTACATGTAGGCGGTAAGAAGTCACATCGGACACGAATTATTTCTCACCTCTAATTCTTCATATGCTTTCGTATGTCCATGTGAAAATTGTGCTTCATACACATATTGAGAGATCACATAGAAGACGAGCTATTTCACGACTCCAGTTCCTCACATGGATTGTTCTATTTTCATAAATGCACTGCTGTCTGTACGCGGTGAAAGATAACATGCCACATGAATCGTTTCACTCCTCGGACTATTCACATGCCTTTATATGCCTATACAGAAGTGCTGCCCTATATACTCGATGTGAGATCACATTGGACAAGAATCAGTTCACCACTGAAATTATTCTTATGCGTTCTTATGTTTATATGAAAGCGCCGTGCTACGAACTTAGTGAAAGATTCCACAGGACATGAATCATTTCACCCCTATGATTGTTTGGCGGTGTTCTTTTACCTATATAAAAGCATTGCTCTAAGAAAGCGGTAAAGGATCACATATGACATGAATTATTTCTCACCTCCAATTCTTCATAAATCATCGTATCCCTATGTGAAAGCGGTGCTCCATAGATTTGTTGAGAGATCACACGAAATACGAATTACTTCACTGCTGCAATTCATCGTGTGGATTTTTCTGCCTTCATAAATGGATTGCTTTCTATACGTGGTAAGACAACACATGGGACAAGAATAGTTTCCCCGCTCGGTCTGTTCCTATGTCTTCTTATGTTTATGCAAGAGAACTGCTCTTTCATACAGTTAGCGATCGCAAAAAACTTGAATCATTTCACACCTTCTATCGTTCGCATGTATTCTTATATCTACATACAAGTACTTCTCTATGCAGGTTGCAAAAGATCTCTTGACACCGGAATGATATCTCACCGTGAATTCTTCGCATGCGTTGTTATATCTGTATTTGATTTATGCTCTATATACATGTTAAGAGACCACTCAAAACGCGAATTCGTGCACTGCTTCAACTTCTCGCACGAATTGTTCTGTCTTCATAAATGCACCACGTTCTGTATGTGATAAGGGAACACCTGGAAAATGAATGAGTTCACCCCTCGGTTTGTTCTTTTCTCTTCTTATATCTGTAGTAACGCACCGTGCTTTCAAGCAGCAAGCAATCACATGGAATCCAGCTAATTACACATCTCATATTCTTCAAATACGCTGCTATGCGAATATCAAAGCACCGCTCTGTATGCGCCGTGAGAGATCCCATAGGACACGAAACACTCCACTGCTCGATCTGTCCCGATGCCTTCTTATGTCAACATTGCAACGATGCTCAAAACATCTAGGAAGAGATCACTAGGAAGACAAATTATTTCACTGCTCCAATCTTCGCATGGATTTTTCTCACCTCATAGATGTACGACTTTCTCTAGTCGGCAAGAGATCCCATGGAACACGAATTATTTCACTGCTCCCACTCTTCACATAGGCTATTCTGTCTTCATAAATGCACTTCTATCAGAACATGCTGAGAGATCACATACTAAACGAATCATTTAACATCTGAGAGTCTTCGCATATTTTCCGATGTCTGTAGAAAAGCACTGACCTCTTAAGCAAGGAACTATCACAAAAGATGCGAATCATTTCACGCCGGAGATCGTTCGCATCATTGGTTATGCCCATGGAAAATCACTGGCCTCTTAAACAGAAAAACAATCACAAAGGACACGAATCATTCTTCAACTTGTATTCTTCGCATGCGTTCTTATGTTCATATAAAAGCACTATTTTATGTGCATGGTAAGAGACCACATTGGGCGCGAATCATTTCTCATCACGAACTCTTCACATGTCTTGGTATGTTTATGCAAAAGCCTTGCTCAATATACGTGCTGAGAGGTGAGGTGAGTGATGAATATGTTCACTGCTCACGTGTCCACATGAGCTGTCGTGTCTTCATAAAGCCATTGATATATGTACGCAGTAATAAACCGCATGCAAGACGAATCATTTCACCCCTTGTATTCTTCGCATATATTCTTAAGCCTATTAGAAAGAACTGTTCTTTGAAGTAGTGAGCAATCACAGGATACCCGAATCGTTGCACATCATGCATTCTTCGAATATGTTCCTAGATCTACGGGAATGCAATGCACTGTTTACCTGTCAAAATACCACAGAGGATTCGAATTATGAAACATCTTGTATTTTTCGCAAGTCTTCTTATGTCTATATAGAATCACTGATGCATCACCCCAGTAAGGTATCATATGTGATACGAATCACTTAGCACCGGGCAATATTCGCATGATTTCTTACATGACTTCAGAAGGATTGAAACTGTCAGCAGTGAGCAAACATGTGAAGCATGAATCATTTCACGGATACGATTCTTCGTATAACTCGTTTTATGTAGGCAAAAAAGGAATACTCTATTTAGCCATCGAGAGATCACAAAGAACGCGAAAATGTCTCTCCACCTATTTTTCACATGTGCTGTTGTCTTTTGACAAAATCAGTGTCCTAGGTACGCAGTAAGCAACCACATGAGATGCGAATGATGTCACGGCAACGACTGTTCGGATATATTCTTATGTCTGCATAAAAGTGCTGCTCTATGGATGCTAAAATAATTCCTATGATTGTTGAATAACCGCGCGGCTGTGATTGTTCATATTTGTTTTTATATGTGTACAAAATCA